AATATAATATTTCATACATCTACTAGGAAATATCTGTAGGGCCATTTAAAACACCCTCTTCCTACAGTAGTTATCTTAGAAAATGGCAGGTAGAATCAGTGTTGTAATTCACTGCTGCATTTTATTATTTTATCATTATAAACAGTGGCCAAGGTTAATAGTGATGATATAAATCTACTCTTAATGTGTATAATGGTGGCTGTATACATAATAACTAATAGAGTGTAATTAACTATTGAACATATACATGCTGCAAGGAAGAAATGCTTTGGAAATGGACATAATTATTCTCACTCATGAACAATGCTGTTCTTTCCCAAAGATATAAGACAGCAGAATCCATCAGCCCTGACCAGAATATTCTTCCCAAAGTGATCATTAGGAGAAACATCAACCTGTTCCCAGGAGAAGAAAAGACAGCCATCTTTCTTAATTAGAAAGCAGACACTTCATTTAAGCTTTCTTGATAGTGAAAACTCAAATTAACATCCCAGGCATCCTCATTCATTAATTCCTAACAAATCTCCAGAAAAGTTTTCCTACTAACTTTTCAGATACCTTAAGCAAGACAGAATATACAGTTGCATATATACTAGATTTTACTAACATGTTGAATTCACCCATTTCATTTAATTTTATCCACACTTTAAGCATATGTCAGGAAGAGCATTGAGATAAGAAAGCAGCTGAGAAACTGTCCAGGAGCCTACTCATTGTCGAAAATATTTCTCCTAGTCTCTTCAAGCTAAGTTCTGAAAGAACTAAAAGATGACATTCCAACAAACTTTACGGTAATGATGTACAAACACGACAGAGATCCCTGCGTCCTTAAGCGTGTACTCACAACAGGCCCACAAATAACACCTGAGTGCTGTGTGCAGTGGCTCATGCTTGTAACCCCAGCACTTTGGGAGGTTGAGGCAGAAGGATCACTTGAGCCCAGTAGGTCAGCACCATCCTGAACAACATAGTGAGACTCCATCTCACAAAAAGTAATAAACATCTCAGGACTGAATAATCCCATCACATTCTCTTATCACTGGAGCCTGTGTAAGTCCTAGACCACCTCTTAAAAAGTTTAATTTGGCCGGGTGTGGTGGCTCATGCCTATAATCCCAGCACTTCAGGAGGCTGAGGGAGGTGGATCACCTGAGGTCAAGAGTTTGAGGCCACCCTGGCCAACATGGTGAAACCCCGTCTCTACTGAAAACACAAAAATTAGCCAGGCATGGTGGCACATGCCTGTCATCCCAGCTATTTGGGAGGCTGAGGCAAGAGAATCACTTATCCAGGAGGCAGATGTCACAATTGAGAATGCACCACTGTGCTCCAGCCTGGGCAACAAAGCAAGGCTCTGTCGAAGAGAAGAGAGAGAAGAGGAAGAGGAAGAGGAGAGGAGAGGAAAAGAAAAGAAGAAAGAAGGGCCGGGCGCGGTGGCTCAAGCCTGTAATCCCAGCACTTTGGGAGGCCGAGGCGGGTGGATCACGAGGTCAAGAAATCGAGACCATCCTGGTCAACATGGTGAAACCCCGTCTCTACTAAAACTACAAAAAATTAGCTGGGCATG